CTCTAGGTGATGCACCACTGACAGAAATGTATCATCAGCATGACCAAATATGACTTTTCTGCTGTTGTATTGCACTGAATGGAAACAATCAAATGTTTATTTTCTTAAATAACAGTGCTGGATTAATTATCAATTTTCCATTTGTTCCTCTGCATAATTTTAGCACAATGGCAAAAAATGTAACTAATTGCCTTACCATAAACCAACTCTGTTATGATATCAACTCAAACATTTGGAAAACATCCACTGGCATTTTCATCCACATGACATCCTGTCTATTACTGAAGAGAAAAATGTTAATCTTTAAACATGGAGCACGAGATGAAATATAAGAACTGTCATGTGAGGACTGTACTTTACTCCTCTCATAGAGAAAACTACAGACTTCAACATTCATTCTGTGAGTATTTGGCTGGCTGAGCTATACTTTATGTCATATATCTGCATGGTTTTAAATGTATTTCATTCTTCAAATGATAGCAGTGAGAAATTCTCTAATTTGACACATACTATGAACTTTTGTACTCATTGGGGCTGCTGTACATAAATATATAATATGTCTTACTTTGGTCAAAGAATTTATGTAATTATGTAATAATATTTATGTAATTATTAATAATGCAATACTATTGGGAATAGCTGTCAAGGTTACTAAAAACACATTGTAGTTAATGAACATTTTCTTCTAGACGCCATGGAGTTGAGAATCAGTTCTCTGCTGGTTTTGATTGTCCTCTGGGATTCTCTGTGTGTCACTGGTTTCAAATCTAAAACTGCAGCACATGAGAGAAACTCTGAACAGTCGCGGGAGACTCTGATGGGTCAGACAAAGCATCTGCAGGTCAGGCCTGAAAACTCAGTTCACATTCATCCAGGACAAACGCTGACGCTTCAGTGCGGAGATGAGGGAGATGAAGGTGAGCGGCACACAAACACATTCATTTACTTCTGCAAGAAGTTCAAAAGTCTTATTACGTTTTCTCAATTATTAAATACAGACAAACATTAATTTTTTAATGTTTTTAACACATTTTAGTGTTGACTGAATTCATCATGCTGTAAAAATAATAATAATAATTTATGGGAAATTTGAGTTGATTAACGACTTACAAAAAAAAAAAAAAAAACTTTGCTCCCAAAGTAGCCACACTGAGTAACAGCTTAATTTACGCTAAATGTAGACAAAACTACGTTACACATCTTGGTGTTGTTTGTATTAATTTTAAACACACACACACACACACACACACACACACACACACACACACACACACATACACACACACAAAGTGAGAGAGCAGGACTAAGAGAACGCAATGGAGATGGAGAAGGAGAGACACACAAAGTGTATATATATAGATATAGATAGAATACCTATTAACAGAAAATTATGTAACAAGTATAAAATAAGAATAAAAACCTCATATAAAATAAAACAACTGATTGCACTGCATTTTATGTATCCTCATTTTCTATTCTTAACTGTTTTAATTTCATTTTAAATCATTTTTTAAAAATCATTTTAGAATTTAATTCCTTGCTTTTATTAATGTGATTTTTTTTTTTTACTTTTATGTAAAGCACTTTGAATTACCATTGTGTATGAAATGTGCCATATAAATAAACTTGCCTTGCCTTATACCTTTAGTTTGACCCAGTTTTATTTTACTACTATTGAGACACCATTATAATTTGTATTAATATTTTAATTTAGTTGTTATGTTTATATTTTTTCATTTCCATTTTAGTTAACGTTTTAGTCATTTTTGTTTTTGTCATTCTTATTTATTTTTTTTGTCTATATAGTTTAATTAAATTCTATTTAAGTTCTGAAATGTTGCCTTGGCAACTGTTTTTTTTATATTTTATTTGATTTCGGTTAACTTTTTATTTATTCGTTTATTTTTTTAATGATTTTAGCTTTAGTTGTGGATGAATGTTTCATGAATTTGAAGTGCTTTTAATTGACCATTGTTTCAAGCTGTGAAAAGTGTCTGTTTAGCCATGATTGTTGAATTCTTCTCTCCGCAGTGCTGGCGCAGTGGTGGCAGACACCTTTCGGCCTGTTTGATGGCTGTAACCACCAAAACAGCAAAACAGACCCAGTGGAAACATGCAATGGCACTTTGAGGATTTCAAGAGCCACATCCAGCCATGATGGACTCTATTTCTGTGTCCGTCTGGACGAGATGAGCAGAACAATTGTGCCTTATAGAATTAACATAGCAGCCATCAAGAAAGGGCAGAGGAAGACCAGGGAGGCAGAGGTTCACGCCGACACAGTGTCAGAAAGCCATTTCGTGGCGGCTGTGACATCTTCAGTAATCATGAGCTTTTTAGTGGCCTTCACACTCGGTGCGTTCAGTAGGTCCTATGTGATAAAGTGTCTACGAATGATAAGGGCCCGTGTGCCTTGTAGAAAGGACAATCACAATCACATCAATGGACAGAAGAACTTACAAACCTCCAGTGCACTAAATGAGACAGTGTTCTTCCATAAAAACCAAAACAATGATGAAGACACTGTGGACATTGGTTTGGTTGATCAGGAACGCGTGGATGTTGATAATGCAGGAAATGAGCCTCAGAGATGTGAAGCAGAAGAACAAACCCAAGAGTCGAGATCAGCGGTTAGTCCACATCCAAAGAAGATCCGCGTCATTAAAATCTACAACTATGATGAAGAAGGGAATCCATACAGCCACATCAAAGACTCTGGGATGGAGGCTGAAGACCAGGTCAGGCCCAAACTGAGGACCAGGTCACTGACGCGACTCAGTGCCATCATGAAACAGGCAGAAGCTCTAGACTTCAATCCAGCCGTAGAGTCGACCGAGGGCCAGACCGTTCAACCAGACGCTACAGCTACAGGAGACACTAGACTCACAAACAGGCCGAGAGACA